GGTAATTTCAATGAAACTTCAAGTATCAAAATATTCGTTCTTAGTTCTCCGAGTATATTAGCAGCCGATTGGTTTGATGAAAATGATAATCATCTTGGAAGTAAAATCTGCTTTTCATGTACGACCGAAACAGATTTTTTTGGAAAGGTTGTCAGTGTATCTGCATATAAATGCGAGCTTTTGATACAGAATACTAAAGAGAAAGATTTTCAAAACTATACCGTACAGATTAGCAATCAGTTCGGCAAAAGCAGTTTCAATGTGTCATTGATGTCAGCAGGTAAGTATATGAGAATCAAATAAGTATTTTCTTAAAGTAAATGTGTGTAAAGATTACAAAATTACATGCTTATACAAGACATTTCAATGACAAAGAAAACTAGATATTGACATATCATTGTTAAAACTTTACTTAGTTTAAAAACAAACAAAATGATGCTTGAAATGTAAATCAATTATTAAATATTATCAATATACATTATATACATATGCTGACGACATATTGTTAAACATCTGATATTAATTGATTGTGAAAACAGGTTACTGACCATGCATATAAAAAGATAGTAAAATGAGAAGCGGCATCTACACTCAGTGTGTTCAGATAAACTGAAGGCCGTATGGTTGCCTATAATTGCTTACATCCACTTTATTTGAACTTTGGTTGATAGTTGTCTCATTGGCAATCATACCTCATTTCCTTATTTTTATATTTGCTCTTACTCCAATTGAAGTGAATTACTATATATTATCTATATATTGTGCTTGCAAATATAATCAATTATTAGATTTGGGGAAACAAATGACTTGAGTTGATCTGCGTAATACATGTAATAGTTCTTAAGATATTCTCTATTTACAGGAGAACCAGAAGAACCCACGAACATTCGTGTGCTTTCAGGTATAAATCACATCTATGTGGAATTTAAACCCGGATTTGATGGGGGTTCCCCCCAAACGTTCATTGTTGCGTTTAGAAAGAAAACAACCGGAGAATGGAGTCGGCTTACAGTGAAAAAATCATTCAAATCAATACAAAGCTGCTACATTAAGAATCTTGAGCCAAGCACTGAATATGAGATGCGAGTTTATGCATTTAACAAAATAGGAAACAGTACTGTAACATATGGTTATACTTTACTGACCAAAGGTAACTTACTTTGATAGGATACTATTACTTTCAGTTTTTTGAGTTTTCATTTACGGTTAAAGATAACAACTAGTGAATATATAAGGCAGGCATTTCTCAATACAAAATATTGTTTTTGTCATAAAAGGCGAACGAGCCAAATGAGGAGCAAACCCATCTAATTGCAGTAAGCATACACATTTCATTTATTAATAAACTGATCATAGATAATAGAATTAATATTTTGTATGCCAGGCGTGCGTTTCGTCTACAAAAGATTCATCAGTGGCGCTCGAATAAAAAAAGTTTAAAAGGCCATATAAAGCACAAAGTTGAACAGCAATGATAACCCGAAATCCGAAAGGTTTTGCAAAATACAGCTAAGGTCATTTATTCCTGAGGTAGAGAATCATTAGTATTTTGAAAAATTCTAAGTTTTATAAACTTTTAATTTATTATTATGACCATATAAATGAAAGTTATAACTCTGAATTACATCAAAAATGCAAAAAAATATAGAGCACTAAAAACTGAAGTTAAATAACAAAATTTAGTGAATTTCAACATCTCACTTGTAAAAAACGACAAAGTGAGACAAAAATTTGACAAAAGCGGACTTCGACATTCATGACACCATACATACAAACAGATTTAATTTCCAATACAATTTAAAAGAAACTGTGCTAGTAAGTACCCGATTAGATTTTTCTGTTTGGTTCTTTTCTGATTAGATAAAATGAGCAATAGACATTTCAACAGAGATAATACAATTGATGATTTACATTTTCTCATCGTATTTTTTTATGAAACATATTGTGAATCTATATATCTATATTCAAGATGACATGAACAGTTCTGGTACGAAATACATTGGCATTGCTATTGGATTCACCGTCCTAGTCTGTTTTTTTGTTACATGGTGGCGCTTTAGAAAAGGTTTGTTTAGAATAAACTAAAGGCAAACATATTCAAACAATTTTTGTTAACGACATTTAAAAGTTGAACCTTTTTTAACGAATAATTAAAACAAACTGGATGTAGAATGTTCGTCACTCCCATGTATCGTCATTTTTAATGGAATAAATATTGCTTCCACCTTGTACCGTAATTACTTATTAAGGATTACTTGGATCGAATTTAAAAGATCTCCTCTTCGTTTGTTTTATGAATTTGACATACGAGATGATACGACACTGTTAAACAATCATCAGTATACATATATCAAATACCGCTAAATATGGATAAATAAATTGAACGTAGTAATGCATAAACTTGCACAATTTTTAAAATTGTATGTTAAAAAGTTGATCGGACAATCCTGTTATCTTTTTTTGACATCAATATAGGTTTAAGATGTGTCGTAAAATGTAGGGATTCAAGCGAATATACAAATAAGAAGATGTGGTATGATTGCCAATGAGACAACTCTTAACAAGACACCAAATTACATAAATAGTTATCAAAGGTACCAGGATTATAATTTAATACGCCATACGCGCGTTTCGTCTACATAAGACTCATCAGTGACACTCAGATCAAAACAGTTATAAAGCCAAACAAGTACAAAGTTGAAGAGCATTAAGGACCCAAAATTCCAAAAAGTTGTGCCAAATACGGCTAAGGTAATCTATTCCTGGGATAAGAAAATCCTTAGTTTTTCAAAAAATTCATAAAAACTGACAACTATACGTCAACATACGGCCTTCAACAATGAGAAAAACACATACTCCAGCTTGCCTATCCAAATCAGTGTGATATATAAGTTTACATATTTTTTTTTGTATTGTTTTCAAAGCAAAGAGAACTAATTTCCAAAGGTATACTGTTTATTAAAAATTATAATACTGCAATTTAAACTTTTTAACCTATAGCTGATGTTTGAAATCTTAACAATATAATATTTTCTTGTGTCTGGGAACGTCTAACAATTTGTGCTCTATTCTAGAAAAGATTTTTTTTTCTGCATGAATGTAAATTTCTTTTAGATTCGTGTTACTCTATTGATATTAATGATGAATAACGATTAAATCATGTTCAAAATAAAGCAGATGGTCATGCAACTTATACTTTTACGTTTAGAAAATATAGAATTTCATATATAAAAACAACACTTTCAAAAAAACTGTTTTATGAATTTCGGCCACTTTTTATTTCATTATTACTTTTATATTGCATACTTATTACGCCCTTTTCTGGTAGAAATGAATAGATATGTATATGTAAGAAAAACTGCAAAGAATTCTTTTATATATAAGAATTTATGTGTTCAGGTAAGCAAGAGACACCTTCAAGTTTTGCCAGTTTGTCTTTTTTTATTAAATATAAGGAATTATTGTATCATTGTTCTATCGTATCGTATCAAGCAAAGTTTCTATATAAATAACCTTGAAAGATTTTGTGTACAAAAAGTAAAGAAAAACATAAATTTAGTATATTAAATCTTTTTTAACATGAAGGCTTGTTTGTGTCTACTTGATTGACCTTATATCTTATAAAACAAGACAACGCTATGGCATAATTCAAATAACGACGAAAAAAAGCAAAGAACAGTCTACAAAACTCTATATAGTACTTATAAATCTGCGCAATACGGACCTCACCTTAAAACCGGTGTGATTTCAGGTACTCTGAAATAGTAAGCGTATACTGATCTGCATGTGGCACTCGTCCTATGGCTCATGATTAGATAAAATTTGAAGATAAGTCTATTCGGTCATTAGCGAGCAAAATAGAACTTGATTCTAGACGCACACATCCGTGGCCACCTGTCACACAGATATCTCATAACAGTCGTCAACAAATTCGTGACAGCGTCCGCAAAACTGTTGAACTAATAACCTCAACTTTACAATTTGAACCCTTGGTTAAATAGCACCTGATCAAGAAAATCATGATAGATTACACACCATTTGAAATATCGTATCAACTGAGAGATATGTACTACTTATTCAAGCGCTGCTGGAATCTTTCATCTAGTAATTAAAAGTTTACAACTGAGAAGCTCAAATCATCAGTTGTGTCGTAAAGTTTTGTTATAAATTATTATAAATTTATTGATCTAAGTCGAGATATGAGGCAGACTAAACGGTATCTATGATATTCTTTATTTCAAGTTCGATTAAATGCATACATTCACTATAGTCACTAATAGTAAATTTATTTAATTAATATATTGACTGAGTCAAACTTTCTATTTTATTGCAAATAGTATTGAATGCATTTCTTGTTAGTTTTTAGTTTTAATCGATAAAAAGATAGATGCTGTTCAATATTATAAGCAAGAAGAAGTGTAACCAAAATAGACCTGGACAGAGTTGACTATGAACATGATGAAATATAATTTTCGAAACGATTTTCGAGATTCTTAAATATGATTTGAAAAAAACACAAAAAAATAGAGTAGGGTTTACTTTAAATTTTAATTGAAGGTGAAATCAGCATTCAGTTACGGTTTGTTGTATACATATTTGTTTCATTTCCCAAAATTTAATAGAAAATTATCCAGTATAACTGTACAATTGTTGTGTTAAAAGGTAGACAGGTACGTCTGTCCTTATGTCTTTTTTTTCAAAATTTATCAAGGTTACGAAAAAATGTAGCAAGGTTGACTTGCAATCATGGCAGTGAGAACCATATTTATAACACTTGGAAACAGTAGTATACGTATGTAACACGAAGTAAACTTTTCCCAAGTGCATCTGTACTACCTGTTTGAAGAAAACTTTTAAAGATTTGAAAATCTTCACATCTTTTTCTTAACAGAAATAGCACAATCAATATTCAATAGAATGTCTGTATTAGTATCACATCATTGAAATATATTTATAAGTTACAGAAATCTATTTCTATAATTGTCATGTATTTTTTCTGTAGGTCTAGTGAAAACGAACAACACATCCAAGGTAATGTTCCCCTTTTATCAAATCAATTGATCAAACAATATTGGTACACATACTTTGTGTTAGAAGATTTGTGTTGTTATCAGTTCAGCTATGATACATATGATCATGGCTATTGGATCCAAATTTGATAATCAATCTGGACACCGGGTCCATATTTGGGCATTATCGAACAGTCTCCTTTAAAATAAAGTTACATAAATTATTAAGAATTTCAATTAAGGGAAATCGTATACTCGTCATAGTCATAAAGGTTTTGCAGGATGTTGATCGAGGTTAAACTCAGAGGACTCACTCAAAACTGATAAAATGCGGAAGGACCTTATGATAAGTTTGTCAGTGAAATGACGAATACACTCATTAATAATCTCGATCAATAAAATAATAACAAACTTATCTCATGTACATGTACTTAAAATGCAATGCCCTAAAATGCAATGCACTACAAGTATATATATATAAAAAGACTTCATCAAAGATGAAAGAGCAATTTCATCTGTTTATTTTTGAACAAATACTTGTTGGGTCAGGAAATGGGTTTATACATATATAAATGTTTTGGTTGTCATTACGCTAACAAATGAAATAATGCCTAACATACAACTTTTGAATTCTTTTACTTTGAAAACATTTCGAAATGGGTTAAGACAACTAACAAGAAAGAAACAAAACATTATTTGAAATACTTGAATAAACGGTCAATATCTGTTATAGAAGGACGTGTAAACATAAACAATATGAATGGGTCAGCTGTTGATGAAACTGGGTCATTAGCTGCATCTGCTAGTAGAGCAGATGTATATTCTTCAATTGAAAGACGCATGCAAGAAGCAGACAGTTTTAAGGTGACATACAAGATCGCAGCAGAGAGTAAAAGATGTAACAAATCAGGTATATCTGTATGTACACAACAATATAACATGTGTATGTATGACATCATGTTGGAAGAGGTAAATAAGAACGGGTAGCAAATTGAGATGATTACTGAATTATATTTGAATATTTATGTTAAGGTTTCGTTTTACTTATGATAAGGACTCTTTTATACATCTGATTGGTTAAAGGATGAATCCTTGGGTAATAAAAGAGGTGACGACGATGCTTTAATAAAAAGAAAGGATTTAACTAAAAATGTCAAAAGAGGAGTATAATGTTGACTGTTTTTTTTATTGTTTTTAGAAAATAAGCTTGCGCCATGCATACTAGTATATCCGACCAGATGAAAATAAAATTAAAAAAAAATACTCAAACAAAACCAGTTAACGTTTACTCATCAGTAACTAGTGTACACGCGGGCTGTGCATAGCTTGCATAATAGTGTATAGACTTTAACATGCTGACCCATACAGGTTTATTCTTTTGATTTTACTATGATTTGATCTTGTTGTGACATAGATATTTGTATATCCGTCATTTTATAAAAAGTGTGTCCGTATCTCTTCGACATATGAAATTTAAATCTTCTTTTGATATCTCCCCGATTCTTTTTTTAGAGCGTGTTGGTAAATGTTTTACATTTAACTTTTGTTTATTATTCCAAAATGCAAACACTACGTTCGGTATGGCAAAAGACCGGCGATTGACTTTCAAAGAAAGGGCTATGGTGTTATAAGACTACATGTTAAGCCCTTAAATTCGAAAATAAAAAGAAAAACATAAATCTACCAAATAGATATTCATTAGACACTAGTGTGTCAGCTAATGGCCTCAAACTTCACATATTTAGTGCAAATCAGAACAAACTGCCACAATAGCCTGATTTTGAGATCTTGTCAATAATATTTAGGTTTGAGCATATCATGTATATAGTTTATTAGGTACATGTAAACTTTACCCAAAAATATAATTTGCTAAATATATAAGATTCTTTGGCTAAAACTGTTGATGGTGAATATTTTGACCAATAACCATGCACGAAGTGGCTTTTGTTTTAGGTCTAATACGTAAATTTCGACATGTGCATTACGGCAAAGTGACATAATAAGTGATGCGACTACACTAAAGAGTCCAGATTATATATTAACCTGTTCATCAATAAATAAAATTATCACAATTTTGATAGACTTGAATAAGTATACTGTTCTTGCCATTTCAAGGGCCAAATTATGACTCTACTCAAATCGTCTTCTTTTTGAAAATCGAGAACATCTTGTGTAATGACATCCTAATTTAGAGTTTTATAAACTGGGTCTGGAAAAGTCTCTGATTGCAAGGACAAATATTGGGGGAATGCAGATTTTGTTTTAAAGAAAGTATTGTTTTTGTGATTTAATTGTCATTCTTATTTATTCATTATCACAATCAAAATTAAAATTATCATTATTATATTTATTTCCATCATTATCATTCTTTCCAAGCCTTGAAAAGGTAGTCTTTTTATGATAAAATATGTGGTATGTGAACAAATGATTCGGCAGCTGTAAAAGAAAAATCCTTGAAACCTTAAACAAAGTTCCGCATTTCCTTAAACTGATTTGAATATGAAATTACTATTTTTCGGAGGGAACCAGTTTCGTCGATTGAATGTTGTTTCTGTTACAATCCAGAAATTTGTGAAATATTCATAACTTCGCATTTATTGTTTTTGTAGAAGCTTTTATTGATCACGTTTCCTGGGAAGGAATTGTTTAGCAGTAAACATTTTACAAGAATGGCCATTAATGTTTTTTTCATAGACTGAATGTCGTTTTGGCAGTTAATCATTTGGATGTTGTCTGCCATATTTGTTACTCAATTATATTTTAAGCATGAATCAGTCAGTAGTTTTTCTCTTTTGAATTGATGCCCATGTTGGAATGCCAGGGCTTTTAATAGCTTTCAATCCTACCACATTTTATTTTATGTCACCTGGCCCAAAGGGTCAGTTTCAGCTTTTGCCATCACTTGGCGTCCGTCGTCTGTCGTCGTCGTCCGTAAAAGTTTACACAGATCATCTCCTCTGAAACTACTGGGCCAAATTTAACCAACCTTGACCACAATAATAAATTGGGTATCTAGTTCAATATTTGTTCCAATGACCCAACCTCCCGACATACATGACCGACATTAGCGGTTAAATACAATATTTGTCTATTATCTTGCAAATAATTTGCCATAAAAGATAGATAGAAACTTTAAAAAGCATAACTGATCAGCAAGACAAGATCTAAAAATAAGCCATATGGTCGAAATCTTCACTCGGCTCTTTATTGAGTGATTGCCCTTTAGTGATAGTTTTTACCATTTTTTCGAAAGGTTTTGACGAAAACAGATAAGCAAATCTATTTCTAGGTAGCAAATCCTTAGTATTTTGAAAGATTAAAAGTTTTGAAAACATTTGATTTATAATTATGACCAAATCAAGGATAATTCATGTCAACACAGGAGTGCTGACTACTGGGCTGGTGATACACTTGGGGAGGAGACCTCCACCAGCAGTGACATCAATCCAGTGGTTGTAAATAAACTCATCATAGACCGAATGATGTTTAGGAAAACAGGTATATGTCACCGTACAGCCTTCAACAATGGTGAAACCTACAACGTATTAAAAGTCGAGGGCGTGGCAAAATGTGGAAACGGCCTGGTGTATGACTTATAAAAGGTAAAACAATAAACGAAAAACAAATATGTTGCAAAGGGAAACTGACAACGCCATGGCATAAAACGAGTTTATTTGAGTTACAAAAATGTATTTTCCTTAATGTATTTGACATAAAGGTTATATATAATTTTATCTCATGTTAGTATATTAAAGGTAGTTGTACTTTAAAATTCAGTAAATATTTCGGAACAATACCATACAAAGATCTTTTTCAAATTCCAAATATAATCACAATAATTGCACATTTTGTTGTCTTTTCCAGAACATTCTGGGCACACAGACAGAGAGGGAAATAAAAAAAACAAATTGAACGTAAATATACTTATTCTTTTTAAATGTAAACTAAGAAAAAGCGATGTTTTAATTTGTTTACTGATTTTGATATCTTATTCGTATGATGGTAACTTAGGTATGCTACTTTGTAACCTAACAAACTTGCATTTCATATCACATGCTATTTAATGAAAATACATATATGCATATTTCCAATATTATTTTATTGTTTTTTATTTATTGTTCTTCTATTTCAGAAAAGAACTTCATCTAAACTTAACTATATTGACGTTGTTTTTGACCCCAAACCACATGTGGGCCAATTTTGCATTCACGGAGCTGACAACAGGACACCATATGCAGACATTGACTTTTCGGCAAAAGCAGAACCACTCATTAGTTCAGATGAGGATGACGAAGGTTCCGCTTGCGGGGAGAACAATGACGAAGATTTCGTGTCTTTGGAAGACGTCAAGCAGTGGAAAATTGCTGCAGAGTGATGTTTTTTTATCATTTGTTCTCATTTTTTCACAAGTTTGTTTGTTCTTTTATTAACCGATTAACTAAAGAATTACTAATATGCCACTTTATAACTAAAATCTAAACAGTTTCCATTTCAGCCATCATTGCATTATTATATTAAAGATTGAACCAGTTATTGTGCAACAACACAAAATTTAATATGGCTGACAGTTTTCAGGGATCCCTCTTTTCGACGAATAAATAATCATCGGTCACATGAAAATTAATTAAAGATACAAACATTCCTTAATTTTGATATTGTCTGTAGTGCAGTTGTAAAGGTATAATGAAATATCACAGGTCCATTATTTAAACACCCATTTATTAATGATACAATGTTATTAGCCACCAGATCAGTTTTGCAATAGACCAATTTCAAAGATAGCAACAAAAACAAACAAATGTTCATATGTATCTTCTATGTCAAGAAACAAATAAATGCTTACGTTTACATTGACCTTATTGTGTTTTAATTCTGGTAACCCTTTGTGCTATTTGGTTATCTTTTTCAAACTAATTTATAACCTGTCCAGACTGTTTGCAATTCAGACCTTGACAAACTGTTTACAATTACACAACTGTGTAGTGTTTTACTAGTACGTACCATTGCAGAATGGCGATAGTCATTTGACCTGAAGTTAACATAAATATACATATAAATAGACAGACACACACATTCAAACGATATTTTCTAGATTTGTTTGATTTCATGTCATAAAACATTTTTAAAAAAGATATGTAAATCATTGTTTTAACCTTAAAACAATTAATGTTAAATCAATTTTTGTGTTGGCTGAATCAGTCTTTTTTCCCGGTATCTCCCTTGTTTCACTTTCCAGTGTTGACATTGTTTTCTTTTTTTTTTTATTTTAATAATCACGTTTAGCACATGGGTATCTCATCTCCAGCTAAATTATAATTGAAGTTCACATGAATACGGATTCAAATGAGGTTGAAATGTTAACTTCCATGCCAGTAATACACCAGCGATGTCTACAATCTTATTTTGATAAAATTGAACCAAAGTGACGGCTAATAGGGAACCCCGTTAATATAAATGTTTAAAACAAATAAATCATATGTAAAACTGTGTTCTCAACCGTAGCTAATGCCCCTTTAAACAAAATATGGCTAATTTAATAGGTTTGACTCATACAACGTCCTTTATCATAATAAAAAAACTCTTATAATATGCGTCGACGTGTTTTTGTCATTCACGCGTTTTATAGGCAATTACAATTTATACCGATAATAATATTAGATCATTGAATATTATCCTGAAATTGGCAAGGCCAATGTGCCCACTTGCTATTTCTTATCTCTGTATAATAATGAACATTATTCAATATTCAATATAACTTACAGATATATGTTATTTGTATCATTTATTAAATTTATCTAAACCACGGAAGTAGTCCTTATAACATTAATGTAACAAATTGTATTGCACCAGATTCGCATTTAACAAATGAATGTCTCTAACGGTGCTTTTCTAAAGTTTTAGTAAATTGAAAGACTTTTGTCTGATTTTTAAGACTATGTTTTGTTACAATATTTGAAATAGCTCTCGCCGCGATATAGCCTTTGTGTGCTTATGCAGCGTAAAACATCACCAATCAGCTTTTACGCAAAACAAAAGCACAAATGTGTAAATACAAATACGTTGACGAAGATACTACGATATGACAAATCAAATAGTCTTGATATTATCTTTAAAAACTTGAATATAGTTGCGTCATCCCATCGATATATTTACAGACGCCATTATTTGATTACTTTGTCTGCCTTGACCTCTCGTCCAGTTTTTCAATCTTAAGTCTTTAATTCATGTGTATTGTTTTGTTATTTCTTTTGCCATTGCGTTGTCTGTGTTTATTGACAATTTGGCATGTTTGGTATTTTCTCTCTCTTTTAATACGTTTCTTTTTGCTTTCAATATTTTATTGCAATATCTTACTTTACTGTTGTTTGTCTTTTGGTCTTTTTTTTTTTTTTTTTGCCATGGCGTTGTCAGTTTATTTTCGACTTATGAGTTTGAATGTCCCTTTGGTATCTTTTGCCTCTCTTTTACCGTATGAAAATATTCAGACCCATTTTATAACCATTGCCCTATGTGCAATGAAAATAGCTAAAATGTCAGTGTGTATACAAGCTTTTTTCGTATTTTGCAAATCTGTCAACAAATTGGAAATGATAATATAAGAAATGCATGAAACAAAACATGCAGAAGTAAACCTCCAAATAAAACCCCAAAAAGGCACTTCACTAAATGAAAAAAGGGACACCCGTGCACCAGCAATTTCATTGAATGTTTGATTTTCAGCAAGAATGTTTATCGTTATGGATCATCTTTCTCTAATTTCAGGTTTTATTTTTGTATTGCAAATCTTGTCGAACATCCTATAAACTCAAGTATACACCTCATAGCATCACTGCAACCTTTCCCTTGTTGTATTTTTTTCATCAAAACATGTCAGTTGTTTCTGTTTGTAACATTTGTAATTATCAATGTTTCTTGCATAATGTTATGTTATATATATATATATATATATGTTGTTCTGTATATGCTATAATATTGTGTTGGGTGTCCTGTCAACTAATACATTTTTCTGGTCTGTCCCACGTCATCCACTTTTTGAATAGTTGTTCATTATTATAGCGTTATTAATTTTGACAAATCAATAATGTTGTTACTAATATTACATCTATGTTAATCTGTAAAAAATATCATTCACTAAACTAATCCTCTCTTTTATTATACAAAAGGATTTTATCATCAGTGGTATTGTACACTATTTGTTACTGACTCCTTGAATCAATTTCTTTAGCAGTGTAATAAAAACAATAGTACAATATAAAATTTGTAGTTTACTTCGACAGATCTAATTAACAATAATCTTCATGAGTAAGATTGTATGTGTATAAGATATAGGCGAAATATACCAAAGGGACATTCAAACTCATAAGTCGAAAAGAAACTGACAACGCCATGGCTAAAAAAGAAAACAACCAAAAGACAATCAACAGTACACAAAATACAACATAGAACACCAAAGACTGAGCAACACGAACCCCACCAAAAACTGGGGGTGATCTCAGGTCCTCCGGAAGGGTAAGCAGATCCTGCTCCACATGTGGCACCCGTCATGTTGCTCACGTTAGTACAAACCCGGTAATAAGTCTAATTTGGTAGGTCACATTCGGGAAAAGGGGACGGGATTGTAGTTACGACATTAGAAACATATCCGTTATCATCTGTGAAACGGATATTCCGTAACGGTCAACCAACTCGTGATGGCGTCCGTAAAATTTACGAAGGGATGATTTCAACTTCACCACTTGGAACTCTTGGTTTAATAGCTTCCTTGTGAGCAGCAACCCTCTATCAAGGAAATTATGATAGGAAATACAAGCCCTGGAGTATCGTATCAACTGGGAGATATTTACTCAGTATGCAGCCGCTGCTTGAATGTTGCTACATAAAAATGGAAGGATCACAATTGGGAAGCTGAAATTATCTCTTTTGTCATACAGTTTTGTTTTCAACCGACCCTCATTGTCAATTACTAGATGTAAGTCAAGATATGTGTTGACTTAACTGTATCAGTTGTATCCTTTATCTCAAGTGCGATGGGATAGATGCGTTCAACATAATCACCAAATTTAAAAAAAAATTATTTAGTGAGAGAGCATCATCTATGTAGTGGAAAATAAAGTTAAAGGATACCGCTAACTTCCTTTCTTTCTTCCTAAGAAGTTCCTGTATGAAGTCAGCCTCATATGAATAAAGGAACAAGTCGGGAAGCAGAGGGGCACAGTTGGTTCCCATGGGAATGCCGATTGTTTGTTGAAAAACACGTCCTCCAAACGTAACAAATATGTTGTCAATCAAGACATCAAGCATCTTGATAATGTCAGTTTCAGAGAATTTTTTGTCAGAATCAGAGTGATTTTTTACAAAGTAGGATTTATCATTTCCTAAGACAAGATACTTGTTTCTACGTTGGCCATTCTTTTTTATGAAACAAAGCAGACCCAATTTTTTCAATTCGTCTTTTAGTTTGGAATGGGGAATACTTGTCTAAGGTGTAGAACAGTACAATATTTTAATACGATTGCAAGATGAAAGAGTCTTAGATTGTGTGTACTCTAAAAGATCTTTGGAATTTTTTAGTATCCACATCTGATTCACGCCACCTCTAGAAAAATGAATTTCACAATAACTCATTAGCCCGGCTTTGATTGCTGGTAAAATTGATATTAATAATTTAGAAAGAGGTTCCGTGGAGCACTTGGAAGACCCAGCAATATACCGTTGTTTGTAAGGACACACACGTGATAGAAGATCCAGTTCTTCATCTTTGGTTGAAATTCCAAAGAAACATAGAACAGACCTACATGTATGAATATCCAGGATTTCCTCTTTAGTAAGTGTCGTGTGAAAAAGAAAAAGACCAAAAGACAAACAACAGTACACAAAACACAACATAGAAAACTAAAGACTGAGCAAC